GGCCAGTGCGTTCGCCATATGGGACAGGGATGGTCAATAGGATTATGTTGTGCACCTCTCCTTCTCCCTCTTCTCTCCCCACACATAATCAACCAGGGGATGAAGTCCGAGCCCACCAAGCCTCCGCCGAAGTGTCCCAGATCCCCTTTAGCCTACTTGGGAAGGGAGAGTGGGGCAGTGGGGGTCTCGTGGGCAGAGAGAAAGAGCAGGGGGGACCACCAGATGGATTAACATATTCAACAGAGCCAGAGATCAAGCCTTTATAGAGTGAGGACAGAGGGAGGCTTTCTCTCACACATACAGAGTCTGAGAGAAAACAGAAATGAGTGTAAGCTGGATTTGTTTTCATTGTCATGGAAAAACAGCGATAGGCCAAGTGATAACTCCGCTACTCAGATGTAGCCTACATTTTTCTTCTCTCGCAATTGTGGGCCGGACATGTTCACAAACACTTGAGGTGGAAAGAAACTAAATGCATTCACTCACAGTCACAATACGTGTGCGTCCGTATTACACAAGTAACTTATTTTAGATGTTATACTTCTACATATTTAAAGATGAATATATTGTACATTGTAGCCTCATAATCAGACAGAATTGACAATCGTATCGCACTTATTGAGTTAGTTGTTTGAGAAGCTGCAGTAGCAAAGATAAAATTCAATTTAAGATAGAGCTAAAACAGTTATGCAATTAGATAATGCACCCAGAAATTAGTGACACATACTGTAGAAGTGTCTTTTGATCTAAGGCAAGACAATTATTTGTCAGTGTCTTCCAAAACCATTATAAATCACAACAAGAAACAAATATTCTCTTGTAAAGATTTTGTAAGTTTAGGCTCCAAAAAGTGTTAAAATAGGGACTTGAGGTTTGCACGCACGCACACATGCGCCACACACACACACTGCTGGGCGAACTTGTGGCCCTGTCCCAGCATGGGCACCAGATTAGGGACCCTGTTTTTTCGTTGGTTTGCTGTTCTCATGACATGTGAATGGCCACTGAGATAGTGGAGGAACATTATCCAACACATTCATCTCCACATCAAAGATGAGCCCAACGGTCGGAGGAATACCACCCTGAAAGAGAGCAAAGACCCTGCTACAAATGTTGGATTAGAGATCCAAAAAAAGGAAAGTAGCTTGTGTAGTGTTTATGAGTGACTGTTGATATCTGATCAGGCTAAATTCTCTTTTCCTTTACATGCATCCTGTCTGAACCGACACGTTCTTTAGCTGTTTCGCAGTCTCCTTCTTACTGTCATAGTGAACATTTCAACTTCTCATTGTCAGACAAATAAGAGATAAACATGTGAATGTAACATTACATTCATGTCTCTGGACTAATTAATCCTCCTTAGTTTAAGCTTAAAATGTGAGTAATCACTTATTTGTGTTCCAGAATAGCAGTCATTCCAAAACGATGGGCTATAATCTGAATCTATAACAGCCTTCACTCTTCTGGTTTCCGGCTTTACAACAGATGTTGGTAGGGCTTTGCTATTCAGCCACAAACACATTAATGAGGTCCAACAATGAAGTTGGGTGATAAGATCTGGGTCACATTTGGTGTTCCAGTTTATCCCAAAAGTGCTGAATGAGGTTGAGGTCATGGCTCTATGCAGACCAGTTTCTTAGAAACTACGATTAAATTCTACTCAACACTTCCAGCATTTTTTACATGGAAATCAGACTTTTTGGATTCCTCAGTTGTGCAACTATGGTTTGCATTAACCATAACAATACTGTATACAGATAATTTAGAAAGCGAGAATATGAAAGAACATATAGACATTCTTGTTGCACCCAAGACTGGAAAGACCTTGCTTTGGCATTGATGAAACTGGAAATGTCCAACCTTAACTCTTATGATAAAGTTTGTAATATATATGAAGATTTATTGTAATTGGGATTAAGGACCTAGACCAAACATAATATAATAATGTAATACCAGATTTATGATCATGCGGTTGTCTTGCAGAACACATATAAAGACTGAGTATGTCGGTGACAGAACCACCTGTAACTGTTATAAAAACGTAAAAAGTAACATAAGTCTGTCTCTCCAATAATTTAGGAGAGAGCAAAGATTAGAAGAGAACATGGAGACCTCTGAGGAAGACAATGTGGAGGGAGTTGTGGGAAGGTGAGGGGTTGAACAAGTGAATGCAAGGCAGTGATAAAGGAACTCGCCACCAATGATATCAATCTGTTGAGCAGCAACTTGCAGGGAACACTGTAATCCGTCAGGTTTGGCAGCCGTACACTCATCAAAATCAAAGTGAGCTTAGAGGGTGCGTTGATAGTGGAGCAAGAGAATGAGAGCGGCATATCGATGTAGGGAAGGAGACAGAAAGAAAACAATGCAGCAGCATCCAGAGAAAGAGGGGGAACCTGCTGCCTGGCTGCTGGGCTTCTGATTGATGAGGTCACTGAGAGGGCTTCCCCAAAATGAAGAGTGTCTTCAGAGGGTCAGCCAGAGGTTGGGTAGAGGTCAGAGTGCAGCCAAAGGGGAGACGCAGAGTCTCAAAGTATCACAACAAATGATCGTAAAATTATTCTAAGAAACTGTCTTCCCTGTCACTGATGGCCACTGTGTGCTGTCTTGGACTGTATCAGCTAATATCAGAATGTATATGATCATCATGGTGTCAGAGAAAATCTTCATATATGAGATATGATTAGCTGCCATGATACTCTTCACAAAATCTTACTGTACAGTTAAACTTATTGGCGTCTGATTCAACGTTAATTTTGGCTCATTGTGTCATCACTTTGTTAAAGTTGGACTCTTTTCAGTCTCTGGAGACTAACATGTGACATTAATGACAGCTAAGGTCATGGCATGATCATAATCATTTTTCATTAAAACTTGGGTGATTTGGCAGACTGCGTTTATTCCACAAAAATGAACGCACACAGACGCTACCAATGTTAGCCCTTGCCAACAGCTTGTGAATACTGTCTTCTGATCTAATCTTAGTTTTACCAGCACCATCGACTTTTTGTGTTCCTCCAGTTTGGTCACTTTTCTTTCCAGTCAAAACACTTGATAAAATATGGATATTTCACCTTTTCCATTGCCATCTCTTAAACTTCCTTTTGAAATGTGCTTATTTAGTCTGAAGTAAAGTCATCTCTAAATGTAATGGATCTATAAAATGTATAGTAATATATAATATTGAGTTCTTACTTACAATCATTGTTGCCTTGATGTGGTCAAAGTACTATCTCGTATAGGTAGTTCAGAAATCACACAGATTGATTTACAGAAGCTTGTCAGAAGGCAAGACTTATGAACACACATATACTAAAAAAAGGATACACCTGGTTGTAAATTACCATAAACCCTACTATGATAATCCCCCCTCCCCCAAAATAGCATACATGCTAATTTCATCATACATACAGTACACACAAAGCAGTTTCCAGTGTTGTCACTTTAGTGTCCCCTGCTGGGAGGGCCAACAGTGGAGTAGCTAGTGTGAAGGTAACCTTTTCAACTGTGTTGGAGCCACTTGGTAAACACACACTATAATTACTGCTTATTAGAGGCTATAGGGGCCCATTAGTAGCACTGGCCCTACCCCTCACTGCCTGCACCTCATTATAGAAGCCAGCACAGCACAGTGTGCCTCATTACCACCTGCCTGTTAAACTCACACACACACACACACACACACACACACACACACACACACACACACACACACACACACACACACACACACACACACACACACACACACACACACACACACACACACACACACACACACACACACACACACACACACACACACACACACACACACACACACACACACACACACACACACACACAAGCAAGTTAACATGCACTTGTTAGAACACTGCAGGTGCTGCCAGATTGAATTCAGGTGTTGACTTGTTACCTGGAAAATAGTTGTGTTTGTGTGTGTGTACAGTATAAGCATGTTCATTGCATCATGTGACAGTCCAACATGATCAACAGGACTCATCTATGACTGTTTGCCATTTGTTAAGCTAATGCCCATTATTTGTATTCGTGCACTTTAAATGTATATGCTGCATTTACTTGAGATGGGAATCCATTACATTTCAAATAAATGTGTCGCTTAACTGTTTTAGGTGTTGACAAAGGCAGCATTTTTCAGTCTAATGGGACTTTTGTGAAAGACTTTTGTTTGGTTGTTATTATTAATGTGTGACACAGCCATCCTTGCTTTATTAGAAACATCGAAGTACAAAAAAAGAGTCTTATATCATTATTATTAACAATTTTATCCTAACGATGCACAAGCTCTGTGACAATTGTAATTAAGTGATAAGTAGAGGTTGAGCAATGTAGCAAGTTAAGGGTTAAACTATAGCTACAACATAGTTAGTTTTTACTTCTAGAAAACTAGCTGTAGGCATGGTTAGTTTAAGCTTAAAAAACGACAATGCTCGCTCAGTACCGGCTACAACTGCCACCCATGCATTATATATGCGCAAACGCATAAACACAAATAAATGTTCTTCATGAATTGCTCCCTCAGTGTGCCCCATTTTGACCCAGTCTCTATTAAAAAAACAAAACAATAATGTCACATTCCAGACCATGCCACCCTATGCTGTTCACTGTGCCGCCTGTGCTGCAGACAAAAGCCTCCCTTCTGTCAGCAGAGTGCAGCTGCCATCGCCGTTTCTTCACTTTACTGGCGATATTTACTGGGGATACAGACACTATTTTATTCCCCCTCTCCCTTCCATTTCTCCCATCCCTCTCTGCCCTCCCTGCACCCGCTGTTAGGGTAACAATTTCTTAGTCTGTTGACTCTGCCATGGCAGCAGAAGCAGATAAAGCTTTTTTTCTGTTTCTCAGTGTTTCGCTCTCAATCCTCTGTCGAGTTACAGTAGCTGAGTGAACGGCACCATGGCAGCACTGGCAGTTAAAGACTTGTATCAGTCTCAGTTGCACACTTTCTGTGTGATTTTCTTTGTTCTGTCCTCCAGGTGAATGCCATGCTGGCAAGGGTGCCAAGGAAGCAGATGGCTTCAGAAAGCAGAAGTAGAAGGAAACAAATGTGGAGGAGGGACCCTGTGGAGAATACTAAGCACTGTGGGAGATGCAGCAACAAAGGTTTAATGTCTAAACTTTAAAAAAAATAACCATTTAAAACGGACTTGTTAAATGATTGGTTAATATCAAGATTATCTTTTCTGATGTGCCTTTTATTGGTGTTAGGTTTTATTAAACTCAGGTCAGATTTGTTATATATTTGGCCTAGTTTCTATGAAAGCACTCACCAGCAACATTGCTACAACAATGTCCAATGCAGAAATTCAGAAGATCAGACAGTTTCTCCGGACGTCCTTAAGCACATTATTTGCTTGAAAAAAGGAAAACAACTACCCTAACTATGTGGTTGTGGTCCTACATACGAAAAAATAACTTGTTAGTTACTTACTTCCATCCACTGGAAAAAGCAACAAAGGTCAGTAATGATCCAGAGACATTGCAATTACAAAGTCGTCGTCTTAACCAACAGACCAAGTCACGTCAATGAATTATTGGTGGTATAACATCTTTTGACTGCATTGTAATATTGTGGCTTTCATCCTGTGCACATTGCATTTACGCTTTTAGGGCTAATTTTGACGAAAATACAACCACAATACTTGACGTTATGAAATTGTGTTAATTCCCTGTAGTTGATTGGAGGTCATTCAGATCACTAGTTTCACTTTGGCCTTTGATAGCTCCTGATTAAGAATTGACAGCAGCTTGGTACGTTTCCTCACTTGGCCAATCAGGGTGTGGCGGCATATTGCAAACCCAGGTAATTTTGTGCGTGCCATAATTTAAAGCACAGCCCATCAGATATTGTCAGCCATAACTCTGGTCTTTGTCTCTGCTTTGTTAACTTTTCTGATGCAAGGTGATTTGGTCATACTGACACATAATTTAAGTGCATTTCCCATAGCTTACCTGCATCAGAGCATTCTGTTATTGTTTTTATTGGTTTACGTTTCATCAAAACCACCTTTTTACATTTCTTATCATCAAAGACATATATTGATTTTTAAAAAGACAGTTTATTTTTTATTGAAAAGGCATTTTAACATCATTATTAAAGGTAGGGTAGGTAAGAATGGAGAAACCAGCTCGAGTGTGCTAGAATTTGAAAGTACAGACCTTACAGAGCCCTTCCTCCAACAAGTTATTTTAGCCGGGCCGGCTAAAATGATTGGTCGTGCTTTTTACAGTACTACGGCTTCCACAGATGACATGTATTTATTGTCAAAGCACTTAATATATTCATTGCTATCGGGATGTTAAGAGCATTCCATGGAATATAACAAAAAGTGTTTCTGAAGTGAATTACCCACCTTAAAGCCCCTGTCACACTGTCCCGAAATTGACACCCGATGGACACACGAATATGGAATTGTGAATTTCGCACGAAGATGGCCCCGAACCACACACGAAGGCAACATTTACATTACATTTAAGACATACAACTGCAATGAAAGTACCAAAAACAATTATGTTACAGTACTATGATACTGTACTGATATCTTCAGACTTTGTTCTTTACTTTATCCGTCTTTATATGTAGACAATATTACGTTTTCTCCGTAATGTTGTTTCCATAACAACAACAACTTCCTGTCAACTGTCCTTCAAAATAATATATTATATCTTTTTTAGTTTCACAGAACACAAATTGGGTTATTTACATCATATGTTTACATGATTTTGTTGTGCAATAAAACAACCCGATGGACACACGATAAAGGAAATGTTCAAATTCGGCTGTGATCGTAGCAACATCGGGCCATTCGTGAGGGCATCTTAAGCCATCGTATGACCGCCGGTGGAGTTTCTCAGGCTCCGGCAGCAACTTCGTGAGCGGTGGCAAAATCTTTGGCATGCCAAAAAATGGCCGAAGGACCTTGCGAAGGTTCATTTTCGTGTTGAATTCGTGTGTCAATTTTGCCCTTCGTAAGGCCATCGTGAGGGCATCTTGTTATAATCGGTGTCATCGGGCATTCGCCCCGATCAGAGTGAGGGTGAATGCACCGATGATAACACGAAGATGACACGATTTGACAAGATGCCCTCACGAGTGCCTTACGAAGTTGCCGCTCACGAAGTTGCTGCCGGAGCCTGAGAAACTCCACCGGCGGTCATACGATGGCTTAGATGCCCTCACGAATGGCCCGATGTTGTTACGATCACAGCCGAATTTGAACATTTCCTTTATCGTGTGTCCATCGGGTGTCAATTTCGGGACAGTGTGACAGGGCCTTTAAGGAGGGGGTTTGATTTCTAAAATGATTTAGAGAACATTTATTTTCATTATTTTATGTCGTTTTAACTTGTTCAGGCTTGCTCCTGATGAACTGAAATTTGGGGAATCGGTACTGCCACATCATCCACACAAAACGTATCTACAGAATACATATGATACAAAGAAATGGAGAAACATCTAATTGAATGATCAAGTCAAGAGTTCAAGAGCATTCAACAATGAAGCATATCACATTTAAAAAAATAGGATGTTCCATCCGTTTGAGCAAATTAACATAAAAAACTGGAGAATAAAGACAGCACCTGTACTGGCATGTCTGCCTGGGAGAGTTACGAATCATCAACCTGAAGCACCTGTTAGTCTAAGATTTAATTAGGAAAGAAAGGGTGAGCTCTCTTTGCCTGCATTGAACAACAGGTTCCTCTCTTGAGAATCCCTCAAATTCTTGCCATGTGGTTAGAGGTGGCTGATAAAGGAGCATGTGTGGCATTCAACATATAAGCATATGTGTGTGTGTATGTGTGTGTGTGTGTGTGTGTGTGTGTGTGTGTGTGTGTGTGTGTGTGTGTGTGTGTGTGTGTGTGTGTGTGTGTGTGTGTGTGTGTGTGTGTGTCCACTCCAGGGTGCTCCAAACTTTGAGGACAGCCCCTCCAGAAAACACAGGCCTGGCCCTCCAAACTCAAAGGACGAGCTCCATTCACCGCCTGGCAACGGCGCTGAGAAATGGAGAAGAGATGGGCACAACGGAATGGGTGGGCAGTAAATTATCAACTTTGAGAGGAGAAGACACGATATTTATTTATAGCATTCAGCCAGGGCACTCAGGGAAGGTTGAAATGGAAAGGGGGTGCGCGTCTTTTGCAAGGGGCATCCTAGGTGGTCAGCATTGACCTGTACTAACCCCTTGTATCCTGTCTCATTCTCCCACCCTTCACACTTGTCTTGTACCCAGAGCTCCCGAGACCTCCCTGGTAATTAGGGAACGAGTCACACCCACTCCCTGCCCCCAAATGTAGTAAATGTTCCTCCTTCTCCTGGCCTTGTGACACACACACTCACACAGCCACAGAATTGTGGCTTCAAGACACCATTCAGCCCTGGTCCCTACTTGCTCTATCCCCCACTCTACATTTTATCACCACCCCTTGTTTTGTTTTGCTGTCTCAATCCATCAATCTTCCCATTAGCCTCCATATTACGGACACCACGGGAAACGCCCCCTTTACACCAGCCCTTCAAATCTGTCTTCCTCTCTGCAACTCCCTCAGCCTCTTCCACTTGCTGCTGACTCTAGCTCCATCCTTCAGTCCAGCCTCATTAGTCCTACCTGCGGCTTTCCAATGATCACACTCTCCCTCCTTTTTTTTTGCTGCTGATTCACCTCCAACTTAAGGTTACCATCCGACTGTCCTGGGGCATGGAGGTTAAGATGGAGATGGACAGTGAGGAGAAGCATTGGGGATGCTGCGGACGGTGATGGGGGTAGCAGCATTTTGGGTGGTATGTTTCCTCCGAGGGTGGGACACAATGCCTCCAGTGTTCAGGCAGGCCCACAGGAGCTTGTTTTACAACAGGGGAGGGGCGGCCATCAATGGCCAGATGATGTGAACCACCCTGAGCCGATTCACAGTGACAAACAGCCCCCTCCGAGGAGACCCCCCCTTTCTCCTCCTCCTCTTTTCTGCTTTCTCCCATCGCCTCCCTCCTTCCCTCCACACATTCTGTTCTGTTGGATCAAAACCAGGGCAGCAGAGAGCAGGCAACAGCACCGCAGCTCAATGGACTGGAAACGAGGACACACACACACACACACACACACACACACACACACACACACACACACACACACACACACACACACACACACACACACACACACACACACACACACACACACACACAACACACACACACACACACACACACACACACACACACACACACACACACACACACACACACACATACTAAAAATGTCTCACATACAAAATGGGTATACATGCATACACTCACGTGCACAGAAACACACAGGAACAGACCCTTTCTGTCCGTCTTCTCCTAATGACGTCTCAAGCATCTTGCTGGAACATAAATTGGTATTAGTTTAATTAAACCAGCGTGGCCCTTATTTGTGTTCTTCTCTTCGTGCTCAAAAAGGAAACCTGGCTTGATGACAGCATAATTGCTGAAGAATTGAAGGAGAGCTAGTGTGTCGAGTTGCCAACCCAGCTAGCGGGGAACGTTCTCACAACTTTGGCTAACGTTACCTATTGGTTCTAATAAGGTTTTAAAGAAACGTTTTAATCTGATGTTCAAAGAACCTTTTTAGGATGTTTATTTTTTCAAATAATGTTCCTATAAGGTTTAAGGTTAACTAAGACATAACGTTTTAACTGCAACATTCAGAGGATGTTATTGAGGATGTTATTGAGGCCTGAGATGACAGAAAGTTTATTTATAAAACGTTCCTTTAATGTGATATGTTAACAAAGGTGGAACGTTTTCCTTGCAACATTCTAAGGATGTGTTTTGGACGTTGTTGGGTAACACATTAAAGATGTTCTTTATAAAACGCTCCCTCAATGTTACATGACACCAAAGAAGAACATTTTGAAAGCAACATTTGGATAATGTTTTCAGGAGGTTATTATTTTTTTATAAAACGTTCCTGTGATGCGAAATATGAACAGGGTCATGGTCAACGTCAGATTTATTTGTAGTGCGCTTTAAAAAACAAACTTGCTGCATTTGTTTGAAAAGGATGTTTAAAATAAATCTGATGTCACCACATTTTCGTTTTTAGAAAAAAACAAGCACGTAATTCATGATATTGCACGTTTGCGTAGGCATGTCTGAGTTCCCAGCTAGACATTGTTGGTTCTAAAAACATTCTGAGAATGTTACCATTCATTGTTCTAGGAATGGTTTCATTGAGAAGTTTTAATTTGGTTCCTAGAATGTACTTCTGAAAGGTAGGATAACGTTCTCTAAAAACATTCTTGAAATGTTTGGTGATAACATTGTTCGAACATTATACCCCAAGTGTTTTTGTTGTTTATGCACATATCTCTATGGCCATATGGATCGAATAACACTTAGAAAACCAAAGACAGACATTTAGAAGAATGGACCGACTATCACTGCCCGTCCCTGAAACCCCTGTTAGTGGGTTAGTGACCTCCTCCACCTGCCTGCTGGTCTGCTCTACACGGCTGGGAGCAATCTCCAATCAACCACACCTGCAACCTGCTCATCAGCCACACTATGAAAGCCTGCAGCCTGCACTCATTCCCTGCCGGTTTGTTGCGTGCCGCTCTACCTTTTTACCAGCATATTCTTTGACAACTTTGCCTGCTTTTGCCTCACACTCATTGTTGTGTCTCTCCCAGGAGGAATCCAAGGCCTTCCACACTCCCAAGACCAGCCAGGCCTCTCTACCCACCCTGGAACAACTGTTTCCCACTGCCGCCATAACCAACCTCCACTCCCAGCTCCCCTTTTCTAATAAACAAATGTTACTTTCACCAGCTGATTCCGAGTCATCCTTTTACATGTGTTAATAGTCAAATTCCAATAGTTAAGTAAACTATCAAAATCATCCTAATGACCACAGTGGTCAGTGCACTTACCCAGGAATGTTGAGTTGAACAATTACAGGAATATTATATCTTTATGTTCTAATAATGTAAACATATTTTAGTAAATTGTTACCACAGAACATTTGCATACTTTTTTTTAACATAAACCATGGTATCCTTCTCTAAAATAATAACATTCTGGCAACATAACAAATCTAACTTGCAGCTGAAAATGTTTTAAGAACAATAGGGCATAATGTTCTAACAATGTTATCAAAAACATTTGAAGAAGGTTATCACCAAACATTTTAAGAATGTTTTTAGAGAATGTTATCCTACCTTTCAGAAGAACGTTCTGGGAACCAAACAAAAACTTCCCGCTGAAAACCTTCCTAGAACAATGACTGTAACATTCTCAGAATGTTTTTAGAACCAAACATTTCTAGCTGGGAAGTGGGCCTTAAACCCCCCCCTTTCTCCATCTCCCCGGGCTCCGTGGCCCAGCTCTGGAGACCTGTCCATTCTCTTGGGCCCCAAGTCCGTTAACATTTGCTCAGGTTAGGCCATTCAAACAGGCCTACTGAGCAACAAGCCCCCACACCTAAAAGAGCAAAGTAGAGTGTTTGTGAGTGGATTTAACCTGAAAACTCTATGGTTAAGTTCTGGATGAATTTAGATTAAAAGTGACTTTTGTCTGATGAAGGTCTGTCTGTGACCAACACACTGTATCTCCTATCAGTGCCACTATATCATGCCAACCGTTTATGACTTATTTTTTGGCCAATACAAACAACAATACACGCTGCTATATTACGACAGTATCTGCAAGAGGTCACCTGGCTGAGACACGAACGGAAAAACAAAGACATCCAAAAATAGAGTCCTCTCTATAACCACTCCAGATGAAAACCCCTGAAACCCAAAAGGTGTGAAAAACGTACTTTTAGGGTTTTAGTTTGAGTGCATGTTTGTGTACATGTAAGTGCGTTGGAGGGGTGACAGCTGGTTAGCAGTGGGCTGGTAATAAAGTAGTCAAGACCCATTGTTAGGGATGATGAGCTTGTGTGTTTGTGTGTGTGTGTGTGTGTGTGTGTGTGTGTGTGTGTGTGTGTGTGTGTGTGTGTGTGTGTGTGTGTGTGTGTGTGTGTGTGTGTGTGATGAGATCAGGAGGCTGCTAGTGAGAGTAAAGGAATGTAACCCAGCCTCTCAGTGCCTCCATATGACGCTAATTGCAGCAGAACGGGGATGGCCTGGGCTACTTGTGTACACCATTGTTGTTCCTCAGCCTATTGTCTCCGGCCTTCTGACAATCGCCATCTGAATGAGAGCCTGTTAAGCTTGGCACAGCCCCATCATTAGACTCCTTTACACCCATTGTGATGCAGCACTGAAGATACTGTAGGGCTATCAGTGACTTTCAGGAGGACTGAGGCTACAAATTATTACACAGATATTTACTTTTTGTTCAGGCTGTCCAACCACACAAAGACAGCAGGTTTCCATGGGAGGAAACTTTTTGTGTGGATACTTTTGAAAATGCCTCTTTCCCCCCACAGACACTACAACCCAAACTTCATGAATCTGTCCATATGTCTATCCATAGATTAGATTACAATTACAGCAGAATACACAATCCTTCAGAATAAGGTGTTAACCTACTCTCGGTCCAAAGATGTTGCAAATCCTTAAAATAGCCACATGTATTGTAATACAGCCATATGACTTGATACATCTGTTTGAATTGTTTTTTACCTTAAGAGCAACCTGAAAAGGCAGGTGTGGATAGAGCCTCATTAGTATTTTCAAATTCAAGACTAATCACAGTATGGTGGACACTTTGTAGCCAGTTTAACGCAGTCTATTCAAACTGTACGCCAATAAATCATAAAGGTTTTGAATAAACTTGATTTGGACATTGCATTATACAGAGTGCTCTTCTGCTCAAATTGATATAAATTGGGTGAACACAAAATAACAGAAACACCTGTCAGAATAAAACAATCTCATGTAACCATAGCTATAGTTTTGTTCTCTTTTCTGTTGGATACTGCCTAGTTTTTCATACAAAAATATCCATAAATAATCTATAGAAATGTGCCAAATCAGATTTTAATTTAGATTGCTTGTCAGGATTAGTCCTTGACATCGACGCTAAATGGTTGCACGTTCTTAAAATCTTAATTAGAGAAAAGGTATGTAGATTATTTTGTGACTCAATATTTAAACAACGTGAAACAATGGAATGAAAAGTGACATGTCACAGTGTAGATAATTTCCAGAACTTTCTAAACATCTTTCGAAAAGTTTCAACAGTCTCAAAATAAGGTCACCATATGTTTGCCCTTTGGACAATTGACAGCATCACTTCAGTGAACGTGACACTTTTTTTGTACACATACGTTTTCTCCTGGACGTACAATAGACATAAACCGCCAGCTGGCCTGCTTTGGGCAGTGTGCGGCTCAGTCTAGTCCTCCGTCTTCCTAAAACAAGCATCTGGAGGCCCAGGGAGTGAATACAAGTGTGAATATATTCATCCCCATGCTGCTTTGTTAAATCTCTGGGCGTAAAGCCGTTGTACCCCCCTGCCCTCCTGCGTGACCCCAGAGGATCAGAGACCAGGTTGTCGAAACATTTGTAACATTTGGCCAAAGCAAATCTGTGGCTGCCTGTTGAATTGAAGC